CTGTCCCTCAAGCCTTTATCTGCATTGAAGCTTAGTAGCTTGTATCAAACCAACTCTTTCAGCACAATTTTGTGTTGTCAGAAATCGAACATTCCAAGGTTTAGTTTCTTCCAGTTTTATTTTACTGGCTGATTTTTGCTTCACAATATTTTTTTATTAGAAATTATTTGTGTGCATGGTTGACTGTATTATATGTGGTCCTTTGATGAACTGGAAACCAGAAACCTGCCCGCCTTTTGCCCAGTAACAACAGGGACATGTTCCTGTTCCCCCTGCGACCCTGCTAGGAACAAGCAGGAATAAAAAATAGATGGATTAAATTATTTGTGGGCAGAAAAGAACAACACGTCTATCAACAGACTCAGATTTTAGTACAAGTCACATGATTAATTTTTTGTCTTTTGTTGTATTTAATCCAAATAGTACCATAGCTCTTTGAACTGCTTTGATTTTAGAAAACAAAGGATATCTGTGAGTTCAGGGTGGTTTGTATCCATGCAAGAGATTAACTGGAGTAAATACATAAGTGGATTTAGAGTTTTCAGGGGCAGTACACACAAAAAATGGAATGCGAGAGATCTGAGGTCTTTTAAGCAGCTTCTGCTGCGAGTCTGGAGCTTGATTTGTGTCCTCCCGCAATCCTCCACAGACTAACGGCCCTCAGAGTGGACATAATTAGGAGGAACAGGAAGAAAAGATCTTGTCACAGACCACCAAACCCATTCAGTTGATTTAGATGAACACAACTGCAAGATGCTACACTCAAAGTCAATTAAGGCCAATCTGCCGGTGCATTCTTCATGTAGGTAATAGATGACAGTCATTGTGTGATTATCTCTGTGATGGGGCCCACTCATGGATGAGCAGTAAACGGCAATTCTCTGGAAATGATGTGGTTACGCAACTACCTGAGAGCCGGTGTCAGCAAGATGAGTCTTCACGTTGGACTAAAGGCAGTCTGGAGCAGGTTTATTTGTACTGTTGAGGGAACGTAGGATAACGGTGATAGCACCTGGCATGGAGCTCCAGGGCCTACACATATGACTCAGTTTGTAGGTGTTCAGGAAATTGCATGGCTTTGTTCAGATTAATATAATTAGTGAAAAAGGAGAGGAGGAAACGTAGGATTCAGATCAACCATGCCAATGTTCAATAAATAACATTTCAGAAAATATTTTCTCTCTAATATATGTGGCTTCACTTTGCAATAAAATTCTTTTTCTGAAAGCAATGTCCACTTTTTTAAAAACCATAGTAACCTGGAAAATATTTTTCCCCCTTTCTCTCATGATGATGAGTAAAGATGTTTTAATTGAAAATATTAAAAGAATAATTAGCTAAAATTATTTAGTTATAAAGTAGCTAGCCAAAAACTTGAATATCACGTAGTATCTACATATTTCTATTATTCAACATCCAAAGTGGGCTTTCCTGAGTAAAGTGACATACAATGCTAAAACACAAAAGATCCCAGAAACTGTAAAAAAATAGCACTGTATTCATGAACAATCAAAAAGTAACAGAAGCATTTATCAAGAGGAGACATCTGTCATACCAGAGGGCTGCTGTTTGTTATTCTGTCCAGACTTCAATCATTTGAGAAAGTTTTTCCAGAGCAAGTTCACAAAGTGTCCCCCTCCTACACATACAAACACATACTTGGGTCACCATCCCATCCTCCTCTTTGACCATCAAAGAGGCTGTTCTGTAGTACAGGCACACACGTTACTCTGAAACACAGAGAAATATCCTGGACATTATGCCCCTCTGTGGGAGGAATTCCGCGAATGGCCAGTGAAACTCTGAGGCTCAAACTATAAAGAAGGTCAACTGTCCCATGCCTGAGGCTCGTTCGCTACATGTTGCACTCAAAGGGCTCACGGAAATTGACCATCTTAGTAGAGTTAGACATATTTTATGTTGATCTAAGCCACGGATGGTTACAAAAATTAAACTGTCTGCAAAGGAAAGATAGAAAGTAACTATTGGTTTCCAAATTGAGAGCACGTTCTGTGTTTGGGCGTTATGTGTGGCATCCACCATTGGGTGAGTTACAGTTCACCACCTAAAATTGCTACAATCTTTGCAGCCTTGGAAAGCTGCAGAGAAAACAAAATTCTATTAAACTTTAAAACCTTCACCTAGTGGCACGGTAAGATAGAAATAAGTCGTGTTCGATGGCAGTGTCATCCTTCCACCACTCGGTTAGGAAATGTAATCTGAATGGTTCAGACTTGGAAAGCACTGACTGCTTATCTTCAGGCATTTGTTGTATACACATGAAATGAGCTCAAACCTTAGAGTTAGAGTAAGTTTGTGGGGGGGGTGCTACTTTATTACATTTCACATTCCAACTTAATCCAAAACATCCACACAGATCCTTTAAGTAAATTAATTTTAGAGCCTGACTGGTGAAATATTAAAAACATTCAAGGGGTAGCAAGGCAATAATACATAATAAAGCACAAATGCCTCATTTTATGAATGCTAAGATTCTTTAATACTCCTAAATTCTCTCTAAATGAATGCGCTATGGCAAGTTCCTGAGATATTGAATTCTGTTTTTCTGTGTTTGGACAGCTGGGCTGGCGTTTTAAACTACTTGCCTGCATGAGACGATGAAGTGCATTACCCGAGAGGGTTTAAAATGTGTTTGTTCTCAGTATAGTCCTAGATGTATTTCCTTTTCGATCCCTGAGGAAAGGGACACAAACATGTTCGATGTAGAAAATCATGACATTGTACAGTATGTCCCAAAAAAATACAAAAAGTTTCAGGTCAGGTACAATCACTTTCAGCAACAAATTTTCACACTGTAGTCAACTATCTCACACTTCATAATAATACCAATAACAATGCATTTCAGACGTGCTATTATTCAATCATTTACTGAACAGAATATCAGGTCGCTGCAATCAAAAACAACCACCCTGAACTGAAGCTAAAAATCAATACGTATCCATGTGGGCATTGATTGGCTTACCATAGAACTTGATTGAGGTTGCAATGAAAACCTTTCTCCCGTGGGGGTCTAAAAGGAAAATCAGAAAGAAATAATTGACTGTTGACAAAAAAAAGTAACAAAATACTTGCTTTAATCATTGCAATAAAACACCATTATACTGCCAATTATTACACTTCCGTCCATTTTTAATACCCGTGTTATCCAGTCCAGGGTCACAACTGAAAAGATCAGCAGCCCATCACACTAACTCTGTTGTGCAGTTATTTCCATTCTTAGTTTTCCAATGATGGAAGCAAAATACTACAAGGCTCAAGTGCCAGTCCCTTTTAAAAATCCTTATATCTTCGGAATATAATGTTATTTTGAATTAATTCAGAAAAATCCTCATTCAGGAGGATGGTGTGAAGACAAAAAATCTTTTAAAAAGCCTGGAAACAGTCTTTGTTTTGCTAGTGTGAGGTGAAATCTAAATGGAAAATATCATGTTCCACTGTGAGGCGAAAGTCATTATTTGGGTCATGCTCCAATGGCTGCATGGTTGTAGGTGCCAAAAGCAAGGATGTAACATCTGTTCTGACCAAAAATGTAAAACCGCGTCTCTGAAATACATCGGCTGATTTAATTATGAGTCAGTACAATATAATGCAAGAGGAATATGGCATTTTGTTATTCATATGCAATAAATATTTGTTATAAAATGTGCACTTGCCCCCCTCCCATTTGAACAAGTACAAATGTAGCCACTGACTGTTATGCAAACCAGCTTAGTCAACTGACACAGATTCTGGTAAACTGAGCCAGAGCCATGCTGAAAACTGAGTAGGCATTCACCAGTGTCCCTGTGTGACAGTGAGTAAGCTCATCCTGTGCTGAGTATTAATCAACAGAGATATCAGGCTCCTCGTTCTGCTACTATGGGCTTCCTTAATCTGCCATCAGTTGAGATGCGACCTGGGTAACATTTGGCCTCCTTCCTTCCGATAACACATGGTCTGACACACAGAGGCCTGATTGCAGATTCCTCCAGAAAGTGAAGCACAGACGATTCAAATTCATATCTAGATGCATCTTTTTGTCTGTTGTGTCATGAGTAAACACCAGAGATCTTAATCCTGCTGTCACCCCGTGCCCTGCGGAGTGTCGAGGACAACTGTCATGTTGGCGCGACAGACAGTGAGAGTACCGATGTCGACAGATAAAACCCAGCCAAAGCTAAACAGGAGATTCAACGCATCAAGCAAGTTGAATATATGAACAATTTTTGGGGGTTGTGTCTCAATCTGTTTGGTAACTTCTTAATGAAACAGGTTTCTGTCTATACTGCCCCCTACACAGATCAGACGCTAAAAAATCTACCTGCTTAAAACATAAAAGTAATAAGCAACAAGCCCTGTTTGTCCATGTGACACAAAAAAAGGCATTCACCGCCATGAGATCCATAATAAATCCAGAAAAATCTTCCTTACAGGCTAAGGATGTCTTGGGCATTTGTCCTAATTCCCACAGGAAATGGTGAAGAGATGGATTAAGAATCAGGGGCACAGTGAAAACACAGGCATTTAAAGTCAGAGACGGCAGACATTCAGCTCCAGGTACCAGTATAAGAAGGCAGCCAAGAGGACGGTTTGAGAGACATTCAGCAGGATTTAAGAGGACTGCAGCAGTGACCGGTAAATCGTTGGATTTTCAAAGAATGCAAAGCTAAGTATGAAGAATGGAGAACAGGCAGCTCTCACTTCTGAAGTTTGACATTTCAACAGCTCAAAAAAGCCCAAACAAAAGCCACAGTTTTGATAAAATCATAGCTATGACCAGCACATCCATAATCAGATAGGAAGTTGATGCCAGTGGGTATCGTTTTAGACTTTAAGAGTTCAATAAAAATCAGTTGATAGCCTCCATAAGCTGTTTCATGGCGTCATACAAGGAGAGCTGAAAAATTGACACTTCCAGAGAAATGACGGCTTGCATCTTGGTTCACAGATCTTCCCATTTTTTAATATACTGGATTTCATAACATCATATTATACATATAAGCTGATAATATTTTTTTAAAAAGGCCAAAAGCTCTAAGATAATCTCTGTCATTATCAAGTTGGTCTTAAAATCAGAACTATTTTTAGAGAAGAAATTCTTTTGTTGACAGTCTGTACACAAAAAGGAAAAACCTTAGTCACAGCTGTTTATTAGAGATTCTCACAAACAAGAATAAGTCCACTTGATTTTATGTTATCACTTTACAGAATACAGAAAACATATTGGATGAGAAAATGTTCTGCTATAAACAGGAAAATAAAAAGAAGAAACATTTTTATATACAAGGCAAGAATAGAAATGTGTACAGGGGAGAGAGATAATCCATAGTCGACAAAATTAAAGTTACTATTAAACAGTTCTGTATGATTCTTCCTCCCTCTTTTGTTCACTCTATTTCAGTGAAGCGTGCAAACATGGCCTTGCGAACAGCATCTTTATAGGTGTCAGATGGTGAGAGTTCGTATGAGCTTCCTTTAATGCCCAGGCCCGTGCCCTTTGTCCTTAATGAAGCCTGTGGGGAGGAGAGAAGACAGTTATTAGAGAAGACAGATAGGACACAGGTGACCCTCAGGAAATGGTGCTAATTGCGTTGTGAGAAAGAAAGAAAAAAGAAAAAAAGAACAGACCACACTGACATCTGTTAGTGGAGCTGGTATGGAGAGAGTACTTATTTTGTCATTTTGAAAAATGTTCTATTGTATAGAAGCTGCTTTTCTACTCACTGCGATGGGTGTTGTGATGCCCTGCTGGTGGCGCCCCAGACCTTTACCCTCCTGCCAGCCCATTGCTTGCAACATTTTGTTCCCAATATTGTCGCTCGTTAGACCGTCTTTTGTGGGCTGCTCGTAGTTCCTGTTGACGGCAGTGGCAGCAAAAGTCAAACAGGTAAAAGCAGAAACGGAAAGGCTGGATAGGAGTTAACTTCTCAACCGTCAGAGAGACTGAACAAGTCACACTCACACAGCCGGGGTTGGCGGTTGGTAAAATTTCTTCTTTGGTGCCGGAGGCTCGGGAATTCCATACTTCTCTCTCCTTTCTGCAGCTCTGTCTCTGTATTTCATCTGTGGAAATCAACGAGAAACTTTAGTCAGTAAATTCCTGATCTAAAAAACAAAACAAAAAAGAAACAGAGGCTTTAGATGCTCCAGCTGCTGTTCATACCTCAGTTTCTTTTCTCTCCAGCTCCTCCAACTCAGCTTCTGAAAGCCTCGACCTTCTCTGAATTTCCAAGTTTTGCTAAACAAAAGCAATTATGAGTGAAAAAAGAGATACACAGGAAAGTTAAATCGCATTAACGTAAGTCTACGCTTCGGTATGTGGCACATTTCAATATACTGTGTCTGATCTTTTACATTGAGGCTTAATGTGCTGAACAGATGGCAGCAGGCAGAATATTCATAGCTACTTGCCGGCCGAATGCCTGCTGTTTAATATCCTCACCTTGTGGAGGTCAGAGAGCTGCTGGTGACGCAGCAGAGCATCTTTGTTGGGGAACTGTCGACGACACAGCAGGCAAACCATCCTCACCCAGTCTGTTATTTTTCCTTCCTCGTCTGCTACTTTTTCCACGCCGCCATCTTCTGGGTCGCTTTCCCCATTGTAACCAGCCTGCGCATCATTCTGTAACACGGTTAAAGCAGTCAGACCCTCTGTTGTGGTAAAAGGTAGAATAGGAAGATGATGGCAAGGGAGCAACAAACCTTAGAGAAAAGCTCCTGTTCAGAGAGTCTGAACTGCTCAGTCATGAGCAAAGGCATTTCAAAACCTCCAGCCTGCTAAAAGAAAACATCCCGTCATCAGACAGCCGCACAACAAAAAGGCTCTCATTTAACGAATATCCAAATAATCCAAACACCCATATGGTGTTGGCCTGCAATCATGACAAGCTTTATTGCAGTTGGTCTTATCACAGCCCCGTCCAACTCAATCAAAAGAAAAATTTCCAAGTGGGACGACTTCCACACTACCTTTTTCTCAAAGAGGGAGAAACCTGCATCTGCAGCGGCAGACTCTTTCCTTTCTTCTTCTCGAGAGGCTCCCAAGCCTTGGAAGCTGCTCTTAATGCTTTCTTTTTGCTTGTTCATGCTTTTGGCCCAGCGCTCCATGTCTTTGGCAATCTGCAGTTTACAGTTTAAAGAATTATTCCCCTGATGGCGAGGTTTAGGAGGCCCTCAAAACACATGCAACTGGAAGTATTGTTCACCTGCTGTGCTGACTTATTCTTGGGCTTCTCCTTCTTCTCTTTGGAGTCCTTGCCGCCTGTGATGGCAGTGGCTGAGGAACTGGTCGACATGTTAGCTGCAGACTCCGTGCTGGAGTCGGATTCAGTCGGGGCGGGAACATAAGCCTGCTTCTCGCTGTCCCAGTAGAGGTACTGCTGCGTCTCAGAGTTATAGTAGTACTGTTGAAAACGACAAGGCACAATGTCATACTTTTGAGTGCGTGGGGTGCACCGCGCACACAGCTGAATGGAAGAGGACTGACCTGGCTGCTGGGGTCGTAGTAAAGGCCACTCTGTGGATCGTAGTAGTAACCCGACGACTCATCGTACTGATATGTGGATGTGTCGGGGACAGCTACAAACAAAGGGAGGAGTTGGAAGTTTCGTTTGAATCTGTGCATTGGCGAGGAGGTATTGGGGGGAGGGGGGGGGGGAAGTAAACCTGCAGCTGATCTCACCTGCTGTGACGGCGGCGCAGACTGCTGGAGCAGCCGCAGGTGTCACTGGAGAGGGGGTGCAAACGGCAGCGGCCAGTTGGGCGGCTGGCTGTTGCAATACAACTTGATGCGTCTGACAAAAAGGATGGGGACAAAAAAAAAAAAGAAAGTCATGCACCGAACATGGATGGTGACGGTCAGCTCAGAGATTTAAACACACTCTACCTGTATGGGGGGCTGGCTGATGACGACAGGCTGGTAAACGTGAGCTGCCTGGGATATGACCACACCCCCCGCTGCAGGGATCAAAGTTTTAATTCCTGGAGCCGCTGCGGATCAATAAAACATTGTAGCATGAAGTCAGACATTTGACATTTGTTAGCTTGAAAACCTTTGAGTGACTAACAACTCTTTTTACCTCCAAGCAAGCCATCCCCAATGACAGGAGTCAGTCCTTCAGGCTGCTGCGGCCACACTGGATAAGCTGCCCCCTAAATAAGAGAAAATGAATGACACTGAAGAAATTGTTGCTTCCCCCCCCTTGTAAGAGTCATAAAAAGTGCAAAAAAAAAAAAACAACCAACCAGGGCTTGCTGTGCAAATCCCTCTGGAAGGGAGACACCAGCAGCTGAATTTTTAGACAACTGAAAGGACAAAAACAGATATTTGACAGTCAGGAACATGCTTACAATATTCCCAGATTATTACACTTGGTTTTGTCAGCGTTTCAGTGGACACAAACGTAAGTTACGTAGATACCTGGCTTGATGACCACTGAGCAGCAGCAATGGCTGTGCTGGCAACAGAGAGAGCGGTGGCTCTGACCCCTTCAGGCTGAACGGTGTCTCTGTAAAAGTTGGAAAAATGATGTAGCTGTATCAAGACATAATTACAAGTGAATATGCTCTGACAAATACATTATTTTCATTCTAGAGATTCTAACAGCAAGTGCACAATATTACAAAAAAAACAGCCCATCTGTACTATGTAAGGTTTAAAGAAAGCTGAAAGATTGTATATGTGTCACAGATGACTCACTTTCTAGCACTCTTGGCATAGTCCACTCCAACTGTTTTCCCATCAAGTTTTAGAGGTGGCTGAAGGCCCTGGAGAATGATCAACAGCTGAGAAGCCTCCTGTAAAAATAGTGAAGATGCTTTCAGCCAGCTTGAAACACACTCACTACAGGACAACCACAGCACAGCGACATACCAAGGGAGATGAGAGCTGGACAAAGGCAAAGCCTCTGTTCTGTCCCGTTTGTTTGTCTTTAATGAGGCGGACATTGCTGGGGGACAGGTTCGCATATGGTGCCAATATGCTCAGAATTCCATCAACAGTAGAGAGGGGGCCAATGTTCCTCAAAATGATGGCTGTGAACCAAAAGGACAGTGATTAATAAATGCTGTATGTGTGTAAAGAAAGAATACAGCATGTGAGCTATATGTGACACACTCACTGTCTCCGCTGAATTCTGCTGACTGCTGAGACTCTGCGATGGGCCCATTTCCGCTAGAGGAGTCTCCTACACTCAGAAAAGAGAAGAGGGAGACGCACACAAGTTGTGACAAACCACTCATAAAAAAAACACACAACAAATTAGGTCAGAAAGGGAACTCACCAGTCTTTCCTGCTCCACATCGGTAACACTTCACCCTCTTTCGAAAATTGTACAGACCACACTATAATGAGAATAGATTGTGTTGTTTTATTTTTGGTCAACGATAAAAGATATGGGTGGGGGGGGGGGCAAACGTTAGGATTATGCCGTAGGCAGCCATTATACTCACAGCATTACAAAGCCAGTTTTCAAACTTCTGTTTTCTGTTACTGTAGTGCACTGCAATGCTCTTCCCCTCGATCATCAGCTTGTTCTGCGAAATTAAAAAACAGGAGTTATTTCAACATCCAACACGTTTAAGGCAAAGTGGCTGGTATGGTCCTGCCAATACCCAATCTAATGGGTGAGGGCAGCTGGAGCGGGTGGAAGTGGCTAGATTTACACTTGCTGCTTAGGTAGAGTGTCTCAGGGGGTAAGAGACAACAGAGACAGAAAGAGAGGTTCAGAAAGTAAGATTCAGCTCTGGGTGTGAGGGAATAAGTTTATGCAAATGTTTCTAAGTGTTTGGGACCGGAGTGCTGCCAGCTCGTCCCTGTCTCACTTCAGTCTTCGGTAGTTTAGTGGAGATGAGAAACTATCCACGCGACTGAGCTGGAGCAGAATGTGCTATGAAACAGTCAGAAAGTCAGTGCTAAATACAGGCCACATGGGCTTCTCTGGAAACAGGAAGAAATACTCTGGTATATGGAGCGGCACAGTGCTCAGTAGCTTAAAGCAACATTATGCTAACCTGAGGCACCAGATGGTTTGTTACACAAACCCATCTGGGAAGCTGTTACTTAAAAACTTTTTGAAAAAGACGAGGCCTTTTAAAATATTACTTGGCAGGTGCCTGGAAGACCCATCTGTCCGTCACAGAGTACCACTGGCTTACTTTAACAGATGATATATTTACCAGTAGTTAAATCAAATCCTTTTTTCTCCTGACATATTAGTCACCTTCAACAAGAAAGCTCTTTATGAGAAAATATCGCAAATCCAAAGGTTTCCACTGCTGAACAGACCTGTATGGCCTAGTCCCTCTGCAGAGCTTGCTCCTGCCATAACAGATTATCTTCATCGCACAAGTCTTGAGTTTTTAAGAATTATTTGTAAAATCAAATTGCCTTTCACGGCAAACGTTATGCAACTATTTTTCCTTCAAGCTGTTCACTCATTTTGAAAGTATAGCGAGTCATTATATGAGAAAAGGGCAAAGTCCCCATAGAGCTGTTTACTTTAGCAAAGATGAAAGTGAACGCTGGCACAGCGACTAGCAATAGGTTCAATAAGATCTAATCTTTCACCATCTGCCAGGTCCTGGTCAAAGTTATCTGATGTAAAAAACTGCAGATCAATAAGATCTAATCTTTCATCATCTGCCAGGTCCTGGTAAAAGCTATCTGAAGTTAAAAAATGGAGATCCGGACGCCTTGGCAGTGGAATTTGACTTAATGGTTTGTCGGCCATCCAACGAATTTCTCTCCAAACCATTGACGGAGCTGCTGTTCATCAAGTCACATAGTGTTGCTTTAAGACCCTAAGTATTTCCTGTATTGTGTCTTACTAAATTTCTAGTACAATTGACAAATTTCATTCTTTTTTTCCAAGGTATAGAGCCTTATACGGTGGTGCTGAATGTCACAGGCTGCATAGAACTTAGCAGGTGTCTGCTGTATCTGCTGTAAATGGCAACACAATCAAATCAGCCAAGAGTGTGATATCAAAGATATCCATCTGATATCACAGCTTTGTGCAAGTAATGATTACTAGATTAAAACAACAGATTCATCTCTTTGAATTTACTGCCATGGAAGAAGTTAATTTGGCTGCTAATCTCCAAGAATAATTCTAGACTTGGTGATTGTTGAAGCAACCTGATTGGTCTCCATCCACCGGGTAGAATCTTGCAAGTGATAAAACTCCACGAAGGCGAAACCTCGGCTTATACCTAGAGACAGCATTCAAATATAGACGGGAGGTGTGTTAGTTAGAGTGCTTTGGTGCAACATTCAAACTTACAATGGGCTTGTACAGTCCAGGTCAAAATATGGAGTTGGGGAGACAAGGAAAGTGCTTACAAGATCATGGGGAGGGTGGTGGACTTTTGCTTACCAAGCTCGTCATGTCTTTTGACAAAGGCAAAGTTACAGTTGCCGTCTTACCTGGCGCACTCATCAAAGCAGACTTTATGTTGCAATTCTTCGGACGGTTTAAATATGGGGCAACTTTTCAGGTTATTTGGGAGGTACAGCGGCTTGTAAGGCGGAAAAGAAAGGGAACGAGACCCTCCTCTGAACACCATCACTCACCTGGCCTTTTCTTCATCAAACGTATGTCCACAGGCTGGGGTCCCTGGAGCTGCTCGAGTGCCACACGAATCTGAGGGAAGCACGCAAATTACAGGAATAAATTGAAAGTCAGTACTGTTCTTGACCATTTTTGGCTGACATCTCATATTCAGACAAAATTACAATAAGCAGGTATCGCACTTCAAATAGTATCACACCAACGTTAAGAAAAAAGACAGATTTTTATCTGTATTACTGATACATTTACAGGTGCTAATGAGTAAATAATGCAACCACAACTAATGATGTCTTATCTTTGGTCTATTGAGACAAAAGTGTGCTGTTTTACGCAGTGACTAGACTACTTAAATGTAGTGCTCAAACTTCTGAATGGTACAAACTAATTACAAGCAGAGGATTTGTTTTTGCAGACAAAAATACCTGTCATATGCATCGTTCAGAATTTTTAAAGGAGTATTCTGCTTTTTCTCCATTATGTGGGTCAATTGTGGCCACAGATGAGTATTTATGACTTACATCCTCCTCTGTCACATCAGGGGGGAGGCCCCTTAGCATAATAGTCTTGCTCTCCTCTTCCGGCTCCATTTTGTAGTCTTGGTCGGTATAATCTCCTTCATATTCATCATCAGATCGGTCACTGTTGTGTCGTCTCCGGCCTCTCTGTCATGAGGGGACAGAAAAAAGGCTGTAACTCTCCCTTTAAGAATCAAATATGGCACTTTCTTCACCAAAAATTGGATACTCCTAAATCATACTTATATTCATGTACCTCTGGACTGTCACAATCCCTTCGCTCATCACAGTGCTCTCGATGTCTGTCATCTGCCCAGCGTCGATCATAATCCCTCTCCACATCTCTGCTTCGTTTGCCATACCACTCTGGTTCATCCCCCCTTCCATCAGTGCCATACCTTCCACTGCGTTCAGTCCGACTGACTCTGAAAAAGGGACAGAAAAACAAACAATAACACACATGTACGATCACGATGGAAAGAAAACACTACAGTATAGCCCAGTGTGTATGTGCACCTCACCTTCTATCAGTGCCCATTGTTTCGTGTGGATAAGCAATTCTTTAAATTGAAGGCTGAAGAGGGGGAAAATGCGCAGAATTTGAATTCAGTCCGCAACACACAGCGTTAGAAATGTAACATTTTGCATCAATAATAAACCAAGATGAGGTAACCCTAGGAAAAAAGATGTGACAGGGCTGTTTTAAATGTTATACAATACAAATACAAATCGTCGTTAGCGACACCTCAGCTTACACAAGAAGGCCTCTCCTCACAGCCTAGCTAGCTCTCCACACTATGGACTCGATTGACAGAACCCGTCAGAATAACCAACCTAACTTTAATAAATAAACGGAGCTTTATACAGAAGACAAACACGCAAGTTTTGTCAAGATAACGTACCTTTTTCACAACTCAACTTTCTAATTTTGATAACGACCTTTCGCGAAGGTTTCACAGTTCTACCGATACTGTCTTCTTCGTTTTGCCAACACCCTAAACCAACAGAACCAGGGCGTCATACTGCCCCCTACTGATCAAATAACGCACAATCTACATGAAGTACCAGCAAATGGCCCGAGTGTCAAATGTTTTACTCGATTTAATGCACTTTTTACATTTTAGACTAACAACATTCCTATGAAATTGTTGTTACAACGAACTCCATATTATACTCATACACAGGTAAGACACTGTTTAGATTGTGCACCAGGTCCAAAATTATATCATGATGCACATCTTTTACAGCGCGTTTAGTTTTGTTACATATCTGGCATAAAATCCATGGACTATTTAATAGTCCACCGCTGGGCTGCTCCCCCATCACCGCTGGGGGGCGCAGCACTGACAGTGAGTGTGACACTGAAGCAGAAGCAGAAATCTGCATTAATTCCTGCTGCCTGCAAAGCGTGATGTCCACAACAGTGACTGCTAACTGACTACGCTTGTTTTAGTTATTAAGCGTACTCTTACAGCGTCTGTGCCGTGTCTTTCACAGAAAACATTGCCAGTGGTGGACGCTTCGCAGAGACGACCTGTCTGTTCCCACCTACCGTAACCCCTACACCAGGAAGAAGGTAGAAACTGGCTAACATTAACGTTAGCGTTTATGTCTGCTCATTTGTTAGCGGAAGTTTAATGCAATGCTAATTATCCTAACTGATAACTTACACATTGCAATATGGAGTGCATATATTGCCACTGAACGGTCGGTGTTTGATTGGTGTGTATGGTTAACGACTAGCTTAACACACTAGCTAGCTACCAAGCTAGTTAGCTAGCAGGAGGCACAATGAATCGCACCCTCGTGAGTAACGGCAGCTTTACACACAGTTTAATGGTAACTTGCTTTCATAATAAGCAAAAAGCAGGCCTCACAGGGGTAGAGGAAAGTTCGAAAGCTATTCAACATGTTTCCATGCCTCTCATTTGACTAATGTGCTTTCGGATTTTCAGTATTCCCGACTCTCGTAATGGCAGAGCCGGAGCTTCTGCTGGACTCCAACATCAGACTCTGGGTAGTTCTGCCCATTGTCTTCATCACCTTTCTTGTAGGAGTGATTCGGCATTACGTATCAATTCTTCTGCAAAGCGATAAAAAGCTGACGTTAGAGCAAGTTTCTGACAGGTAGGAAATACACATTTCTGAAGTGAAACTTTAAAAGCTGCTGCTGGTGAGATGTATAAATATGTGTTTCTATGTCTCCAAATCCAGTCAGGTTCTTATTCGGAGCAGAATTCTTAGAGAAAATGGAAAATACATTCCCAAACAGGTAGGCAATATTTCATAGTTGTAACATATTTAGTAGGTGTAAAGTCTAGTGATGGTACAAATAATAGTACAAACAAATAAAAACACATATACATGGAATAGACAACATTATATAATATTACAACCTGTGAACATTGTGAGATGCTAATTTAAGGAAATTATTAAATGCTACTTTTTAAATGGGTTAGTAAATTAATATATTTATTTTCTGTTGACAGTCTGTCTTAGGGAATGCAAATTAATACTTTTTTATTGGATGCACTAGCTGTCCAATTTGCAGGGTTATTTAGAAACTGTGTTTTAAGAGACTTACCCTTTGTGTTTAAGTCCTTTTTGATGAGGAAGTTCTACTTCAATAATCAAGAGGATGGATTTTTTAAGAAGACCAAAAGAAAGGTCGTCCCACCGTCTCCCATGACAGGTACACTGTTGTATGAAAAATTAAGATGTCAAAGATGTTCATTTGAAATTAAACAATAATATACTTGGGACATATGTCATCCCAAGTTGAGTAAAATAGCTTGCTTATTCATTTGACCAGAAATATATTTCTCTCATACATTATGACTTAATACACTGGAGTTATCTCATAGTAAATAATCTTTTAAGTATAAGTGAGCCTTGCGTAGAACAATAAAAGCACAGCCCGTCATTTTTACTTTATTTTTGTACATATACCACTTAAATTCTGACATTGCTTGGAAGTATCACTGTCCATCTGCTGATGGAAAACGTTTGGTGACATATTTTTACAGATCCCAGTATGCTGACTGACATGATGAAGGGGAATGTAACCAACGTGCTGCCAATGATTCTGATTGGTGGTTGGATCAACTGGACCTTTTCTGGATTTGTAACAAGTAATTACTTACACTAAAACAAATACATATTTTGCATCTGGGATTTTTAAGTCAATTCAGTAATGTGTTGTTTTTGTTCCTCAGCTAAGGTTCCCTTCCCCCTGACACTGCGCTTTAAGCCCATGCTGCAGCAGGGAATAGAGCTGCTCTCATTGGATGCTTCTTGGTAAACAGATTTTTAGAAAAGTTGTAGAAATAGACTTTTAGTTGTGCCATAACCAATTGTGCATTACTTTAAAAAATACTTAAACTAGAGTGCTAACATAGAATGAATTGGTCTCTCTGTCTTCAGGGTAAGCTCAGCATCGTGGTATTTCCTGAATGTGTTTGGACTTCGAAGCATGTACTCATTGATTTTAGGCCAAGATAATGGTAAGTTTTCTTATTAAAAATCAGTACCTAACAAAAATATATACATATTTTAATTCACACATACTGATTGTTGTCACACATTCAATCCCCAAAGGTGCAGACCAGTCCAGGATCATGCAAGAGCAAATGAGTGGCGCTGCCATGGCGATGCCTGCAGACACAAATAAAGCTTTCAAAGTATGCATTGCAATGTCAGTGTGAAAAGTTTCTGAGTAAGGAGGGAGGATTAGCTGTTTCTAAACTGTGGTTTGTGCTTGATTTTTAGGCTGAGTGGGAGGCTCTAGAACTAACTGACCACCAGTGGGCGCTAGAGAGTGTGGAGGAGGATCTGATGAGCAGGGAGCTGGACTTGGATGGCATGTTCAGCAAGGAGTTGCCCAGTGGCATCTTCTGATGGCCGAATCACCACTACTGGGAGCCCTAGGTTTTAAATTAGGTCATAGCAGGGATTTGTTTGTTGAAAACCACAGAGATGGGACAAATCTCTCCATGTTATGCACTGTTTACAACTTCATGGTCATTGTCTTTCAAACGTAGTTACCTTTGCATTCCTGTCTGTATCTGTCTGAAATCTGAATCAACTGCAATGTATTGGCATGACTGCTGTATCGTGTGTTTTGCGAACGTATACTTTGCTTTTTCAGCTTTGAAATAGGCCATATTTTGTATAGTTGAAAATATAGTTTGTCTGAATGCATTATTAGCTCGCAACCATATGTCATGATATTGGCTAATAGAATGAGAACTCCCTTAAGCTTCTCTTTAGTCATGTACAGCTAGATTAGCTGTGTCCATTTTTCATATGCATAATTTTTAGACTAAATGACACAGACTATTGTACAGGTGTGCATAATGTGTATTTAACTATGCTCCAACACTCTTTATTACGGTTTAATTATCCCATTGTTAGGTCAAACATAGTTTTTTTTTGTTCACATTTGCCTCCTTAGGTGGAAACAGTCCAGGGACCAGAAGAGGTCACATTTGTGTGCTTGAAATATTGTGTTTTTCAATTATGTAGACATTTTATTTTGTAATTTAACTCATTTGTGTTTTGTACAGCATAAAAAACAGTTTTTACTAAAATCTGCTTTTATGTGTTGCCCATTTCACGAACACAATTGTTGAAGTTCACAAGTTCTTTTATTTTGATTCCCAGAATGAGGTGTTGCCTGTGTTACATCTCAGTCAACAACAAAAAAACTATGTCCTCATATTTAGTGATTACACTTTATGATTGAAATTTTGGTTTTCGTTTGGTTCTTGAGTTGGGAAATATTCCATAGCTTATGCTGGGGGATGTTCCTGATTATAGATATGTCCTTATGGTAATATTTGAATAAAAAATACTTATTTAAGGTGAAAAAAAGCTTATTTAAAAAGATGAAACCCTACCACAAGTAGTTTCAGGTTAGGTTATGTTTATTGAACATATATAGGTCCTCACTGGGTAATTTTATTAATTTTAGTAATTAAACCAGGACTTTTAATTTTAGAGCATCTCCTTCCTGGTAACACTTTTTCACATTATAAGAACACTGTTATGAATGAAGAAAAAAGGGCGGGGGGGCTTTGACTGATCTGCGGCCCTGGGAGCCCGCTGTTGCTCGCTCCGTCTATGGATCGAAGAGAGCGAACGTTGAGCGTTAGGCTCGTCCTCCTGCGTGTGTTTTAGCGCGTTCACGATACCGGTACACTGGTTGCATGATGGCCGAGGGAGGCGGACCCGAGTCGGGTAGTGCGGGAGACTCCGACTCGGAGCCGGTAGCTGCACAAATGCCTACCCCTTCAACTGAAAGTCAAAAACAAACTATCGGATCACTTTTAAAAACAACTCTACGAAAGGGCGACGAATGGTAAGAACTGGCAACGGCAACCGAGTTTTTAAGCCAGCGTTAGCTTGCTAGGAACAGGAAGTGCTAATAAGCTAACGATAGCAAGCGAATGACAGCGATGCTACTGATTTTTGGTAGGCTAATGTACAACAGATTAGCATGCAACTCGCTAATCCACCCAACTTTACAATTGCTCCATCGAGAGTGGTGGATGTGGTTTTAGGTAGCCAGTTGGGTCGTAAACGGACGATCTGGCCCAAGCGTCCCGTGTTCCATAAATGAACACTGACTAATGTTTTGTTAGAAGTTGGTTGAAGCTAACTGATGGTAGCTTGTGGGTTGAAAGCGAAACTTAGGCCTCGGATTTGGATGATGGATTCCACTTCCAACCAAAGAGAGTCATTGCTGGACACGTTTTGACCAGGAAGTGGTCGTGTGGCAAAGCAGATACCTGTTTGTAATGACATGGAAGCAGGTAGTGACAAGCACTTTCAGAGCCATTAATAGCATCCAGGCCTGAGTGTAGAGCAGCGACTGTACTGGGCAGGATACACCTTAGCAAAGCGACATTGCAGCTGAGAAATGTCAGAATAGCTCGTAATTCCTTTGCCTGAGATTTAGGTAGACATTTGTGCCGTATTACTGATAATATTTCTTACAGTTGTTGCTTGACTCGCAGCTGACGTGTTTATTTACTTTTGATTATGCACGTTTTACCCGTCGAATATCTTTCAGTATATTTTTAAATGACTGGCCATCTCATGGGATCGCGTCTAACTTCCCTCAAACACATTTACATTGGTGTACAGATCACCAAAACAACGGATATGATAAAGTGTAAGGGTTTAGTATACATATAGCTTTAGCGATATTAAAGAGGGTATTGTAGTCCTATTATGTGATTTGGCCCTGCGAGTGAGTGCAACTAAGTAAGTACAAGTCTATTAACTTAAGAAGATTCTTGATATGAGATTAAGTTAGACTGGCTTCCTGTTACTATATCTGCAGATGCCAAGAGAGTTTGGTGTTGCATAATTGTCTGGAATAGCACAAGGATGAGCACAGTTTCTCTTATTAACATGCGTCTTATTTTCGTTTCCTGTCTAGATAAGCTAAAACTGAAATATAAATGTCAAAGACTGAGAAAAACAGGCTCGGTGAAGTGTGAAATGTTAATGATTACTTGTGAATGTATTTGCCTAAGGTATCTCATAGACAGCCGGTGGTTCAAACAGTGGAAGAAGTATGTAGGGTTTGACAGCTGGGATATGTACAACGTTGGAGAACGAAGCCTCTATCCAGGACCAATTGATAACTCAGGGCTGTTCTCAGGTAAAACCGTCACATCAACAAGATTCCTCTGTCTTTTTTCCATTACCCTTAAGAATACCAGAGCTCTGTTATAAAGCCTGGAAATCTTCTCCTGCCTATACTTGTCTTTTCTCTTTTATAGACCAAGAGACTCAGGCCCTGAAAGACCACCTTATAGATGAGCTGGACTATGTGCTTGTGCCCACTGAGGCATGGAATAAGCTTGTCAGCTGGTACAGCTGCCTTGACGGCCAGAGACCCATCGTTAGGAAGGTGATGATATTGAATATTTCTATATTTCTATATTTCTTTGTCATTTTTTTGTTTGCTTGCTGCTCAAATTGAATGTTTCTGTTGTAGGTGGTTGAGCATGGCATGTTTGTGAAGCACTGTAAGGTTGAAGTCTATCTGCTGGAGCTCAATCTATGTGAGAATGACAACATGGAAAATGCCGTCACACGTCATTTCAGCAAAGCTGATACTATAGGTGAGAGGTTTATTTAAATTTCCATTTAATCCAAATTGTTTTTAAAGCACGAGAGTGTAATTTTTTTTTTATTCTTTTTTTTTTTTTTTTTTTTTAATGAGTATGTCTTCCTATATTTCCAGAAACTATAGAGAAGGAGATGCGAACCCTGTTTAATATCCCTTCAGAGAAGGAGACCAGACTCTGGAACAAATACATGAGCAACACCTATGAGCAGCTGAACAAGCCAGATAGCACTGTACAGGATGCTGGGCTGTTCCAGGGGCAGGTAGTGAATCCATTTGTTATTGATATTACTCAGAGAGTCCTGATGGACCACATAACATTACATCTTAATGAAACACTGACTCTCCCTGTGCATACATAATGGTTAAAAAGGACACATCTGAAAGGCTAATGCAATACTGTACGTTTGTTGTGCATTACAATTTATATAATGTTGATCATTCATGTAGAGCATTTTGCAAGGATTTCTGGAAGTGGTTAAGCTGGAGCAAAAGTTTTAAGATTGTCCTCTGATTTTTATGTTGCAAGTGTATCGTAGGTGTTACAAAGACGGTTTCTCTTTAACATGAACAGATGTTAGGATAAGAAATATGTCATCCTGTAAAAGAGTTACAAAAACTGAGGTATTGCATATGGCGGCTTATAAAATTCAGCTGCTTAACTGCTCTCTGTAATATAACAGAGTTGGTTAGATAGCATCAAATGAGTGTGCAAATGATAAATCTGCTCGCTGCTTGGCCGTATTTGGTATAATTGGGTTTTAATCTTAAATTTGAGATGTGACCATTCTGACAGGAAGTTCAGTTGTGCAAGCTTAGTTTCTCACACTGCATATATCCCCTACAGGTGCTTGTGATTGAGCGCAAGAATGAGGACGGGACGTGGCCCAGACAAGCCTCTCATCCTAAGTAAGCAAATTGCATTTGTTCTCAGTCATAGAGGGACGGGTGCGGTAGGTCAAGATTATGTCCTAAAAGCATTTTGTTTATATACAAGTATATACAAGATAGAAAGTTTGACATCATTTTTAAAAAAAATGTTATTCTGAATGTGCTTTTATTGTTCACTAGATCCAGTGCAACCCCATCCAGGAATTTCACTACCTCCCCAAAACTTTCCTCAAACTCATCCAGTATATCCCCATCAGTGACTAATGGAGACAGCAGCAGCAGCCCTGGATACACACTGAACAACAGCACCTCCTCCAGCAACAGGCAAGGAATTCTTTTAATGAATTCCACCTTTATTTTCCTCCATTTAAGTAGTTTGTGTGTTTGATGTGTGTATTATTCAGAATATCAATGCATAGCATTTCCAGTTTGAAATCAACATGGTACCAGGTATGCACGGTACAATGCTGCAATCAGTAGAATTACAATTCTATCAGTCTGGAATGTGGCGTAAATGAGGGGAATGTCACTTTCCTGTCACAACATGAATGCATTTAGGAGAAAATGGGCCCTGTATCGTATAAATCCCATATAGAGGAAAAATGTCAATATTGATACTACTAGTTTATTGGGATGTGTTTGCATATGGAACATTAAATGATAAAAAGATTGACCATTAAACCAGTTTGCATGGGTTACCACAGGAGCAGATTCATTTAATTTTATTTTGAACATTTACCTAAGTGGTTTCTACTCTCTCTATGAGTATTTGGGTTTGCTGTACTTTATATCAGATAGTTTAATACAGGCAAATTGAACGTCTGCTGTTGGTTTGCAACCACTGACCGTGATAAGAGTTGGCCCGATGTGTTTTTATAGTTTGAATGATGGTTGTAAACAGACAGGGTGGTACACAAATTGAACCACACTATCAGTTTATCAAGACAGTCCATTTTCAAAGGGAATTAAACTGAAAATTAACCACAAAAACCACATCTGTATTTCATGATGATATGATGAAATGTCTGCTCTCACTTGAAAAAAAAAAAAAGGCTCCTTCGTCTGTAAACCGGCACTTAATGTCTATGCAATATTCATAATCCATATTTAACTGATGTGTGGGAGAAGTAACATAATCATTTTCCAGCTACAGAGTGTGCCGTAACGCTTTTTTCGTATTAAAAGTTTTGAACAACATGATGACGAATGTTAAGTGTTTACCGATGCTGTGAAGTCCACAGTTATTGAGTGTTTTTTTCCTGATAAGTTAGACTTTAAATCATAAACTCAGGCCAAATAGAAACACATCTGTCCCTCTTACAGATTTGGGAGCTACAACTCGTATAGCTCCTCCTACAACTACAGAGAGTCACAGTCACAACCTGGAATGTGTGGTCTGAGTAATTTGGGCAATACATGCTTCATGAACTCTGCTCTCCAGGTAAAAACAAAACACATCAATAATTGAGATAGAAATAATTTTCAGTTTTCTAGGGGCTGTTGTAAGAATAATCCACTCTCTTGTCCCTGTTCTTCCAGTGCCTGAGCAATGCATCTCCACTCACTGAGTACTTCCTCAATGACCAGTATGAGGCAGAGATTAACCGGGAGAACCCGCTGGGAATGAGGGGTGAGATAGCTGAGGCCTATGCAGATCTGGTAAAGCAGATGTGGCTGAGCCGCAGCAGCTACGTGGCACCGCGCACCTTCAAAGTGAGTCCTGTTCACGTCTTTATCTGAATAAATTGTTTTACGATTGGCACCTATCCGATCAAAGTACAGATGGAGGTTGTAATTACCACCTTTTCTATTTTTCCTTATTTTTATTTTTGTTATATTCCCAGACCCAGGTTGGGCGTTTTGCTCCCCAGTTCTCAGGCTACCAGCAGCAGGACTCACAGGAGCTGTTGGCCTTTCTGCTGGATGGGCTCCACGAAGATCTGAACCGTGTCAAGAAGAAGCCTTATCTGGCGCTGAGGGATGCAGAGGGCCGCCCAGATGAGGTGCATTTCGAGCCTGGAATTGTTGTTTTTTCCCCCCCGAAAAACAGCTTTTAACTTGGATTTTAATAGCTCAGTCTGATGTAGTGTAGAGCTTCCTCGAAAGTCAGCCTGCAAAGCAGCTATGGTTTGTTTAGATCTATAAAACCTGGATGATTTGAATTTCAAAGAGAATGATTAAGACTCATAGTGTGCTAGATAGACAGCTAAATGCAGCAAAGATTTCCATCTGAAGCGTCGAGGTGTCAGCTTGTGCTCTCTAATCCCCCTGGTTGATGTTTTTCGGCTGTCTTTGAGGTTTGATCTAAGGAATTGTGTTCTCCCTACAGATTGTTGCCAAGGAGGCCTGGACAAACCACCGCTTACGCAATGACTCTATCATCGTTGATATTTTCCACGGCCTCTTCAAATCCACGTTGGTGTGTCCAGAGTGCTCCAAGGTGTCGGTAACATTTGACCCCTTCTGCTACCTCACTCTGCCTCTGCCCATGAAGAAAGACCGTACCATGGAGGTCTTCCTGGTACAATCAGACCCTCAGTCTCGACCCACTCAGGTCAGTTATAGCTTACGGTTGTCAAAAGTTTGTACTTGCTGCTGGTGAGTCTGACATTAATCTTCAAATATTTTGTTTTTCTTAATCTGGCAGTACCGGGTGGTGGTCCCCAAGCTGGGCACAGTGACGGACCTGTGCAGCGCCTTGTCAAAACTCTGCGAAATCCCTCCAGAAAATGTAAGAGCTTGTTTTTCTTTTTTTATTTTATTTCCATTCTACAGTGGTTCAATGTGGAATTTGTATCATGCCTTGGTTTAAATGAAGCATCATTTCCCACAAATGTTCTGTCTTGTTTCTAGATGGTGGTCGCAGATGTTTACAACCATAGGTTCCATAAAATATATAGACGGGATGATGGCCTCAACCAGATCATGGAGAAAGATGACATATTTGTGTGAGTTCTGTTTTTGACGGGAGGATGAGCAGAGAACCACAGCTCGTGGTTGTAGTTTAATGTACCGTGCATGCGTTTGTGGCTCCCCCTTACAGGTATGAGGTGCAGGAGGAGGACAGCGAGAGGATGAACCTGCCTGTATATTTCAGGGAGCGTCACTCCAAGCATGTTGGAAGCTCAACAAGCACCTTGCTGTTTGGCCAGCCTTTGCTCATCACCGTGCCCAGACAAAACCTCACAGCAGATCTCCTTTATGACAAAATCCTGGAGAGGATCGGGTAAGAGCCAAACTCTTGGATGGCAACCAATAAAGCATTTCAATGCTCTATTTGTTGTTAGGATGAGCTGTTTGTTGACTGTTTGTCCTTGTTTTTTGTTGCAGACGCTATGTAAAACACTCTCAGAGCCCGAATAGTGAAAGCAGGGCGTCAGCCTCTGCCACCTTATCTAGCTGCAACCAGGCCTCTGAATGTTCCACATCAAGTAGTGTCAATGCCGGCCTGGGTGGCTGCGGCAGCCCTCCGTCAGATGGGGCCTCCTGCAGTGCCAGCTCCAGCAATGGCAGCAACCACTCAGGAACATGCACTGAAGCTAATGGTTTATACGAAGGTAAGAATTGGACGCTGCCCCCGTGATCCATGCACGGGTCACGCCAGGAGGCTCGTTAAAAATAATCTTGTGGTTGTCTTTGCCCGCACAGGTGAAGAGGAAGCTATGGACCACCAAGTGAGTCCTGAGCCTGAGAACGGCCTGTCTGAAGAGGAGGAGGACACCTCTGACTTGGAAAACGGCTCCAAAGGAGAGACGGCAAAGCTCTTCACTTTCAGCGTTGTGAACTCCTACGGAACAGCCAACATCAGCCAGCTGCCTTGTGATGGAAATGTCCTCAAACTGAATCGTCAGTGATAGCATTTTAAATTTAGATGTTTTTTTTCCTTTTTCGGAGCCTGTTTGTGCCAACAAAGCTCTTGATGTCTCTTCCCCCTGCAGCTCATTCCACAGTGGCCATCGACTGGGACACAGAATCAAAGAAACTGTGTTACGACGAGCAAGAAGCAGAGGTTAGTTTGGCTCATGTTAATTTAGCAGCTAATGTTGTGTATGCAAATGTTCTGTTCATGTTTGTGTATATTTTTCATCTAGGCCTACGAGAAGCATGAAAGCCTGCTGCAGCCTCAAAAAAAGAAGGCCAACGTGGCACTGAGGGAGTGCATTGAGCTCTTTACGACCATGGAGACTCTGGGAGAGCACGACCCTTGGTAAGGTTCCCCTGGCATTACGCAGTTTGACGCGTTAAAACATCATCCTCATGTTTAATCCCAAACCGATGTTTTTCGTAGGTATTGCCCAACCTGTAAGAAGCACCAGCAGGCCACAAAAAAGTTTGACTTATGGTCGCTGCCTAGCATTCTGGTCGTCCACCTAAAGCGTTTCTCCTACAACCGGTGTTGGAGGGACAAGCTGGACACAGTGGTGGACTTTCCCATCAGGTATGACGTCCTTTTCGGTTAGTATTTCAGCAGCAGTCCCGGCCGATGAAGGGCCAGATGGGAAGCTTCTCACTCAGTCAGAATATTGTTTACGTTCACTTTAAGCCTAAGGTTTTATATCGGACTGTGCAGAGTTGCACTATTTCTTTATCTTAGCCAATTTGATGTTTTATTGATACACACGCTGTTATTCAAGGTTTCTGTGGCAGGAAGCCAGTCAGCACGGACTGATTTGTAGATTGTGGTGTGACTTGTACCGTGTGAAACTGAGTGCTGAAAAGTGCTCTGAGAACATTTTCTTAAAGTAAGAGTCATATTTAGATTCACACTAGATGGAGCTGTTACCTGAAAATCACAGTACAAGTGAACCACGGATTTATAAGGAAGCTCCAATTCCTCTTACAAGAATGTTGGCTCACTTCTTGTTGCATCATACCTAAAAGAACTTGTTGTCTTTTATCTTTCTGTTTTATGGTTCTTGAAAGTGGCCCTTCTCTCTGTTGGCAGTTGTTAAAATGACTCCTGTGATTGGCCAGGGGTAGCTGCCTGAGCATTGTGTAGTAACGACCTAGGAAACATGACCTAAGAGGAAACAAGGAAGTAGATATAATGTTACTGAAAACCTGCTCTGAAAAAGTCAGAGTCATGCTTATTCAGGAGGATTTAAACAGATAGAAGGCTCATATGCCCAGTTTTTTTTCTTTTAGATTTGGATGTTTTTCCCCCCCTATCTTGCCCTTGTTTTTAACTGGCTGATGGCGTTTTGTTTTTCAGGGATCTGAACATGTCAGAGTTTGTTTGTGACCCTAAGGCCGGCCCTTACATCTATGACCTCATTGCTGTTTCAAACCACTATGGAGGCATGGGAGGAGGTCACTGTAAGTCCACGTTTATCGGGCTGTGTTCAAACCTTTGATATTACAGTTTTACCTTGAGAGGAGGGCACAGCCGAAGTCATTGTTACGTAAACAGCAGTTAGCATTGATGCACTTTGGTCCACAGCATTAAATGTTAAAAAAAGAAAGAAGCCTATAAATTGACTGTATGTTGTTCAAGTTTAGTTTAACTGAGAGCCTCAGACATCAAGTTTTTCTTGTGTTTGCTATTTTGCAACTGATATTGAGCTGACCTGAGAAGATCTTTTCCTGTGTAAATGCTTAACTGCGTAGTAGTTTTGTTTATAAAACCGTCTCCTGTGACAGACACTGCTTATGGCAAGAACAAAGTGGATGGAAAGTGGTACTACTTTGACGACAGCAGTGTCTCGTCGGCCACAGAGGACCAGATCGTGGTGAGTCATCAGTTGTTTAGCGAGAGGTCGCCCGGCGCTCTGTGTCTGGTGTCAGATGTCCCTCTTGTTGTGGTGTAATTGAATCCTTGTCGTCCCGCCGCAGACTAAAGCAGCCTACGTGCTGTTCTACCAGCGCAGAGACGAGGAAAGCCCCTCCAAACCTCAGCCATCGGCCTCGCTGGGAGGAGCCCCCGAGTCAGCCGACGACCACATGGACACAAACTGAGGAGCCCCAAAACCAAGGGACACATACTGAGATGCATACGGCAATTAGACACTCGGACGCGCACATACAAGGCTTCTTTAGTGACAGGGGATTCCACAGACTTATTAATCCTACCTTCCTATATTCTATTTGATTTCTGTCTGATATGTTTTGGCTTGCGCCAACCGACTCGTCAGTGCGAATTGAGAGACTTCCTCCCTGCAGCGAGCGGCCTGCTGATTTCTGATCATAGTTTACTAGTCTGGAACTAAGGGGAACACAGTATAAATAGATCCTCTCACTGGATGAACAGAATGTTAGAAGTGCCCTCAAATGTGTAGATAAATAAATGTTTCTGTTGCCCACAAGAACAGTCACAAATATTTAAAAAAAGGAAAAAAAAAAAGAAAAAAAAAGCCAAATGCACATGTTTCAACCAAAGCGTTTCACGGTATTTATAAAGAGGGGAAAGCAGAGGTTTGCAGGATTGTGGCGTCGTGCCTAGATTTGTCCCTGATATTCCCACAGTGCAGAGGTGAATGCCAACATAGCAATCACATGGAACCATACATGAATCCCATGACCTTAATGCCTCTTGTTAAACGGATCCATTTCTGAAGGGATCACGCTGCTTCGGGGTGACTGGGGCAGCTTTGCTCCCAGCCTGCTGGATCCCTACCACCATAGAAACCACAGAGGGGGACGTCTCGTTTCAAGGTTTTTAACATCTGACTTGACAAGTGAAAGCTCATCAGCCTTGCTCTTATTTTTTTTTGTTTTTTTTTGCTTGCTTGTTTGTTTTTTATGCATAGGGCTCCAAATGAGCAGAATCCTACTCTGCTAACATTGCAATATTTTTGTTTTGTTTTTTGGGGTAATCACAACGGGGGGAAAAGCGGCCTTTGAATTCCTGCAGCCTGACTAAGAGGAGGCACTTTGAAATCAACACGAGTACATAATCTACCTGCTTCTGGTGTATCGAGACATAATAAAAGTGCGGCGTGGCCCGTCACACTTCCAGATGAGTTGATGGTGTCTTCTCCACATAATTTGATTTCTGCCTGATTGGACTCTTAGCTCACTTACAAAAGCTTGTTCTTACTAGTCCAGTACATTCGTGCAGCTCTGTACTGAAATGGCTGTTTGATATCTTTAAAGCACATTGAGTGAAACAAAATAAACTAGTATAAAAGTGGTGCTTTATTTATGAAACTTGAACTTGCTCCTGATCATGAGAAATAGCCTTTTAATCAGATAGGGGCAAGACAGCAGCACCGTGGGGCTGCCATTTTGAGCCAGAAGTTTTTCTTCCAGGGATCTGAAAAACCCTATTCAGCTGTTCTGTAAACTACATTTAACCTTTTTCTGGCGACATAAGGGAGTTGTCGATTTCCTTTTTACTCGATTTGGTGAGAGAGGGTATTTCCAAAGTGTTTTAAAGCCAGAATACTAGAAGTCTTGTCCTATAGGTTGTGCACTCTTGCATTATGGCATGCTAATATGTCGGGTCACGAAATGGCCCATCCGCCGGGTCGGCCCTGGAATGTAAAGATCATGACCCAGATTAAACATTTTCTGCCTGCGACTGAGAAAGCTTTACATAAATTCAATAATTATAGTCTTTGTAGAGGACATAATTCAGCCAAAGCAGAAAACTGGCAGTAGTTCTCAAACACATTAAAGATGTAAATAATCACTATTTTAAATAGGTGTTTAATTCTTGTCCTGTTTATCCACGCTTTGTTTTTAATTGAGAAATATTTAAATTCATATGACAATAAAGACTGGAAGCCTAAATTTATTTCATTTTTTTAAGCCGGGTTTGGGATTTTTTCAATATGGCTTTGTTTTTCTATATTAAAAAATATATATATTCAGAAATTGAGATTTTAAGTGCAAGGAAAGCTTGAAACGTTGAGGTTCTTTGTTTGGATTTAACTGCGTGGCAGACGCTTCAGTCAGAGTCAACTAAATGCCGTCCATGTTCTGCAAAATTTCCTCCTACTAGCAGGTGATGCAAGTGTAATTACAGCCCACAGTTGCTGACTGGCTGCGTAATGATCTGTGTCTGGGTTTAGATTTAGGGTAAGCTGCAGGAAGTAAAACGCTGGGTGCAGCTCATATCATCATTCACTATGCATTAGTCATGAATTTGGCCATCTCCAGACAGGTAACATGTAAGGAAATACTCATAGGCCGGATAGAAGTTGGTTTAAAGACGGGCCTTATCTCTGAGCTTCTGTGGAACCGGTCCCATGCTGCAGTTGTGTTTAGGCCAGATAAGCAACCCATCAAAAACCCATCCCTGAGACATTCAACCAGACATTTTGAATTAAAAAAAAGAAATGAAAAAAGCATTTATTGGGGCCCGACATACACAGCCGTGCTGTACATGCGGGTGATGGCCTCAAACCGCTGGGCTTTTTACATTTTGTCGGACACCCTCCTCACGGCTTGGTTTCAGAGGATGTCTTCATGTAGTAAAAGAGCGCAGCACAGTCATCACACACAGGAGAGCACGGGGGATGTGGGAGCACCACAGGCCGTCCTCAGAGGCAGTGGACGGGATGAGCAGAGCGCCGTGGCGTTCCCCCGCCTGGTGCAAGCGGGGGCTGCAGGATGCTGACCTTCTGAGGACTTGCTAGTTGGCCTGCTGGAGGAGCTTTTTGATGTCTCCCTCGATGTCGCTGGTGAGGAACCTCCTGCTGTAACGTTTGAAGGGCACCCCGTCGGGCCCGATCAGGAACTTCTCGAAGTTCCAGGCCACGTCGTTCCTGCACACCGGGCTCCACATGATCAACTTGGGGTCGTTCATCAGGGAGACGGGGTCGTCGCTGGGGGAGGGGAGCTGTTCCCTCAGGAACACAAACAGGGGGTGGGCATCTTTCCCATTCACATCCACCTTCTCCAGGAGCTGGAAGTTCGGTTCGAAGCCATTTCCAGGACGGACGTACTTGAGAGACATTCGGATTTCCTCATTCTTGCAGTTCTCCTGCGAGTAGATGATTAACACTATTACTCAATATCTGGCACTGACATTTTATCTGAAAGAGGAAGGGACAGGCAAAAACACTGACTTCCTCCTTGCAACAAAAAGCCTTAGGATTTTTCTACCTGACGTACTAGTCACACTGAAACAGTTAATACTCTCAAAACAGCCTTAATGGGTTTATTACATTCACAGTACCCCAGGAAACATCAATTAACTAGAAATGCTCCATCATGAGGATTAGTTGTAATTTGGAGTAACTACCTGAAATGACTATTTCCTCCTTTTCAAATATTTCCCAGAACTAGAACTGCTCACATGCATTCAGTATCTGAATGCAAATTGTAATGCTTTCATTTCTTATATTTAATAATATTAATAAAACATTTTTGTACAAAGTCAAAGTACACAGAATCCCATCTTTCGCCTGTCCAGTGGATATAAGATCTCACCTGATGGCCGAACTGGTTGCAGGGCACTCCCAGGATCACGAGCCCCTGGCTGCCGTAGCGCGCGTGGAGCTCGTTCATCTGGGTGTAATCCCTGGTCGTCGTACCTCAGAGAGACGCCACATTCTCAATCAGGACGACTTTGCCCTTCAGAGATGAGAAACTAAAACTTTCCCCGGACAACAGCTTGGCCGTGAGGTTGTAGAATTTCGAAGCCATCTTTCTTCCTTGGTGCCGCACAACAGGTTTCTTCTCGCCTCCTTCCGCAGGATGAGCCGCTCTCAGGTTTTAAAGGCGATTCTTAACCAGTCAAAGATTAATTCTCTTAGTCAAGATAGTTCACACCCAGTCTGTTTGGTACGTCAGACCTCAGAGGCTGTTACCGGATGTATATTAATAAAAGTGAGCAAACCTCATTAACTTAACCTATATAGCGTTCATTTTACAATAATAACACACACACACACATGTATGTTTTTAGAATACAAACTTAATTGATTTACAACCAGTAAACTGTAATTTTATTAATGTTTATTAATCGATAGTCCTCCACAATGACTCTTATTACCCGATTACTTTAGCTATAATTTACCACTCGTTTCTTTTTACAAACAAACTTAAGAGAAGAAGGTCAAATCAACTCTTTGTGAGCAAAAAGAGAGGGAAAAATAAACTGTTTACAATATAGCTTGTTCAATGTTACTCTTCGACGCAACTGGTGGATATCTTGTTTTATGTTGCGGCGTATGCCGGAGTCTCGTCTCGTGCCGCCCAAAGTGTGGACTACAAACCCCGCCTGATATCAACTAACCTTAACTTAAAAACACGCGCCCTTGCGGGGCTTAACTTTCCAAACAGCCCAAAACTGTGGGAGGATCCACGGTGACGTAATCGAGGCGCGCATCACATTGGCGCGGAAGTTTGTTTTGTAACTTCAGTCTGCTGGTCCTCTGTGGACTCGTCTGCCTGTAAAAGTATGTCACACTATCAACACTGTGTTTTAATCCATGACACCGCGCTCTTGATTTAGCTCCTTAAGAGCATTTTTCGTATAGCTTCTTACTGACGTTGTTCGCTGTCTTGTTTGGTGTGCAGTGCTCAGCTTTTGACCGAATCTGTTAGCTTGCCTCGTTAGTGTAGCTTCTCACACTCTCCTCATTTTTATACTTCAACAGATGATGCGTAAAAAGCGCCGTTCCTCTGTGGAAAAGGTAGAAACACCCTCTGCAAAAACAAGTAAGTTTAACGTGGCCTTGCTGTGACGCTTTTAGCCAGTCTTTGACTAAGAAAAAAGAAGTCTACACACTTATTTCACACACTACACACACTTTTTTTTCAGGCAGTGAAGCGGAATCTGCGCTGTTTTGCGTATTAGGATTCCTTGTATGTGTGACTGTCGAGTGAGCTGCTGTTCTCTATCTCACGCAGAGGCAAAGAAGAGTCGGAGCACTGGTCGTCAGGCCAAAGAAAACGTTTCCAAAGAGACAAACGAAAGTGTGTTTGACACCTTTGTGAGAGAGGCAGGTGTCACCTTGAGTCGTGCTGGCACCTCTAATGAGATAGGTAAATAAATACGCTCCAGGTTCCAACACGCATTGGCGCAAGGACAGAAGTCAGAGCTTAAAATGGATCTCATGTCTTCCAGCTGTTGATCAGGTAGTTTTCCAGAGGCGGGTGCAGCAGCAGCTCCAGAGGAGCCCGAGGTACCCCGGGGTGAGTATGACGAAAGCAGCCGACTGGTCTCCGACATGGTTGCTCAGGTATTCCCATCCTGTCACCGCTTAGATAAAGCAGGAGTTTATCACCGGGCTGGAGGCTCATATTGAGGATGCCGACCGCTTTAGGAGCTGCCTCCTCCCGTGTGTTCCGCAGTGTTCTGACGAAAGCTCCAGGTACTCATCGTCGGCGCACTGATAGCTAAAGGGTTTCACGTTCAGCAGCTTCAAAAATGTTCTGGAGGCTTGTTTTTGATGCAGAAGACTGACCTGTTTTTCTTGGTGCTGCAGCTCTGCCGGCTCCTTCCAGGAGAGCCTCCTGCGAATGCTGCTGGGCATCGAAATGCTACAGGTTAAAAGAATCTGCATCTCTATTAAACTGATCCCACGCGGTAAAACAAACGCAACATGCTTATTTCTGCTGCATTTCCTTGCAGACTTTGATTATTAACACCTTACTTGAGAAACTCCCTGAGTTCATGCTGGACAGGTGAGTATTTCCTGAGTCCACTGCCCACCTTTCAAACCATTTTCACACTTTTCTCTGAAAATCCTCTGTGCTCCATAGCACTGGTGATGGAGGACTCAGTATCCCACGCATGATCGTTAATCAGCTCAAGTGGCTGGACAGAGTTGTGGACAGTAAGGTAATATTTCTGCAGTCACATCCTCGTGAGACCCGGTAAGCCCGATGAAGGGGAGTCTTTTGTTGGCCGAACCGCTCAGTTTGTCCTGTGCCTCATCTTAAAGGAACTGGCTGGAAAACTCATGGAGTTGGTGTCAGTTGCGCCGCTGGAGGTTCAGCGGGACATCATCACCAGCCTACCGGAGATACTGGAGGACTCCCAGCACAACGACATAGCCAAGGAGCTCAGGTTGGCTCTGTTGATCGCTGTTACTCCAGTACCTTTTAAGTTTTTCCCTCACTCTGGGATTTTAAGGGTTTCCTCTGTGTAGCCTTTCTCTCCAGGAGAACACCCAGCTCACAGTGCCCATCCTGGATGCCCTCTCTAGTCTGAACCTGACCTCCTCGCTACTGACAGAGGTACGGTTTCATCCAAACACACACTCATACACACACACACACAGGGCGAGCTGTGACAGAGCTGTGAACTGTTACTGTTTCAGGTCCGTGGGGCTGTTATGGCCACTCTGGCTGCTGTGCAGCTGGAGGACCTTCCTGTTGTGGTGAAGTTCATCCTGCACTCCATCTCAGCCTCTGACGCCAACGAGGTCACACACCAGGTTACAGTTTATGGAAATTTTACAGTAGAACCTGCTCTTCATGTGCTCCTTTTTTGTGTTGTGTTCCTCTGCGTGCAGGTGGTGAGCGCTCTTCGTAAAAAACTGGATCTGGAGCAGTGTGTACTTCCTCCCTTACTGCAGGCCTCTCAGAGTCGTATGAAGAGCAAAGGGACGGGGTAAGATACCACTGACTGCAGCTCAACACCAGAACTCTCTCTGTAGAAAGTCAGATTGTCCATGATGTGTGTGTGTGTTTTTTTTTTAAAGTGGGTCTGCATCCAAACCAGCGGCTGGCAGCAGTCAGGACAGCGTTACCCTGACTCTGGACTGCATCAAGTCAGCTGTGCGCTTCCAGAAAACTATCTCTGAGGCTTGGCTCAAGGTTATTAATTCTTCCCTAAATTGAATTGATTGCAGAGGAACTCTGCTGCTAGCACCACATTATGAACAAGGATATGATAAAAGGAATAATCAGCATTTTAGATTTGTGGGCTACTTTGTTATTTATTCAAACGTTACATTGTGTTCCATGTTTCTAAGAGGAGGTGTTGAGTTGCCACATTTTCCTGATTCATGTTTCATTTCTGCTGATTGACACTGGACTTCGTTGTTTTGTTATCAGGCAATAGAGTCTGTGGACGAGGCCGAGGACCACAAGGTAGGTTCTTAAAAAAGCCTCTATCGGGGAACTTTGTCCCACTCGGGTCTATGAAAATGAACATGATTGAGCTGATTGATTTTGAAAACAGTGTAATTCCGTCTCTCTGTTTGAAACCATAAAGAGGCATCCATATACTGATACTGTCCTCTTGCTTGACCCGTCTGCTCCGCCTCACGTTGTCAGGTTATGGATCTGCTGGTGCTCTTAATACTCCACTGCACCAACGCCAACCAGAGCCGACGGGGCGCAGAGAGGGTGCTGAAGATCAAAGTGAGGGCTGGATTCATCCAGGAAGCTCTGCTGCAGAAGACCTTCCGCGACTACGCTCAGGTGCCTCCCGCAGAACAGCAGAAAGCTCTGTCTCCTGCTGCCACTGCGATACTGACGTCTTTATGGCTGCTGGTGCTGCAGGTCATGCGTGGCTACTTCCCGTCCATCCTGTCCCTGGCTCAGAGTCTGCTGCGCTCCGCTGACCCCTGCGTGGTGCCGTTCGGGGCGCACATGTACCGGCACTCCTTCACTTCCTTCGACTCTTTCTGCCATCAGGTGCGTTTGGGATTCCGCTCTGTTGTTTAAAGAGGCTCAGGGTGGTTTTAACCCCGCCCCGTGTCGCTTTTCGCAGGAAGTGGTGGGTTCTCTGGTGACCCACGTGTGCAGCGGCGTGGGTGGCGAGGTGGACGTGGCTCTGGAGCTCCTCTGCGGCCTGGTGACAGAAAAGCCCTCGGAAATGACCCTGTACGCCGTATTTGTCAAGGTAATGAGGCTCTCCGCGAGGCTCTCCAAGCTGGGCTCGTGCTTCCTTTAGTTTTGAACCGATGGGGATGTTCGGCACAGGGAATCTTGGACTACATGGACAACCTCACACCCCAGCAGATTCGAAGGCTCTTCCACCTTCTCAGCAGACTGGCTTTCGAGCAGCAGCAGGGATCTCACATTCAGGTTCACCGTCCGCCCCAAAGCAGCTCGAACGCTTCACTGCCTCATCCGTCCGCCTCCTTCACTCTCTTTCTGCCTCTCCCCACAGGACGATATGCACATAGTGATACGCAAGCAACTCTCCAGCACTGTGCCCAAGTACAAGCGCATCGGTATCATTGGAGCAGTGATGGTTGTAGGCAGCATGGGGGCCTGCAGGTAAAGAATTTAATCCAACTTATTCAACGCTATTCTCAGTTGATCCTGTTTGTTACCTCATTTAAAGTCTGGATGTCCGTCTTTACCCCTGTACCAGGCCTAAAGGGAAAGAGACGCAGAATACTTCGTTGTCTCAGGAAACACTCAGACAGGTACTTTTTTGTTTACTTATAATAATAAGCAGTTAACTTTTATTAAAACTTTTATCATTTCATGGTCACCTTACCTGTGGCTCAGTGAGTGAGACTGAGATGGAGATTCCGTTTTCCTTTTTTTTAAACTAAGATTCAAAGCAGTTTTTTTTTTCAGCATTTAAAGAATTAATTTTTTATTTATTTATATTTTTATTTAGATATGAGACATTCTATAGCTCGGTTTTCCAGTGTCCATAGAGGGCAGCATCTCCTCACAGACCTGCTACGAAGGGTCGGCCTGAGCTCTTCCTTTTTTTGGTCCTAAGAAACTGTTATCATGGTATAACACTACCTCTTCCTTCTGTCATGGCCTGTGGGCTTGTCCATTTGAGGAAATTACAGTTATTAATCATAACTCCAGCCGAGCGAGTAGTGTTGTATCAGCACTCTGACGGTCACCATGCTGCTCTGGGAGAAGCTTTGGATTAGCCCCTGCTGTCAAAAGCCGCCTCCAAATGTGAGAATGGAAGAGCCACACAGTGAATTTGCTTAAAATAAAGGCAGGTAATAAAACTGAATTGTGACATGAGTCAGGTCAAACCTCCCCCTTAAAAACTTCTGCTTAACTTGACACTGAACACTCTCACAGAAACAGGCTGTGAAAAAAAAGGCTGTAAGCAGCTAAAAACCTCTCAAAAGATCAAAATGCCACCCACGGAATGAACAGCAGAAATGGGATTTAAGCTCTTTCGAAGTTCAGGCACCTGCTGAACTTGCGATACGTCTAATGAAGAGTCTTTTGCATCTTTCTGTGTCTACTTGGTGTTGCAGGTGACAGCTTTGTTGGAGCTGGTGAAGTCCAGCAGTGAGACCTCCCCTGAGGCTGCAGCTCTGTACTACGACGAACTGGCCAACCTGATCTGGAGCTCTAACCTAGAGCCTCAGGTGCAGGTGTGTTCTTCTTCCCTCTCTTAATGTACAGTCAGTGTAAGGAAAAAAAAACTGTGAAATGGTCAGAGCACCCCATCTCTGCTGTCTCTCCCTCCAACAGGAAATGATTGGAAGGAGTGTTCTGGATGACTTCCAGGATGACTTTGTGGTGGACCTTGGGCCAGATATAACTGGGTTGGTCATTGTCAGCATGCACGTTCGGATGAATTCTTCACACCGAGCAGCGCGTTGATCCACGTGTCTCTTTTAGTTCCTTCCCCTTTCCAGCATCTATCATGTACAACCTGGATGAGGACGAAAGTCAGGGAGGGATCGCCCTCAACCTGCTGCCTCTGATGGCAAAGGAACTGCAAAACAAAGGGGAGCAGCAAACTCAAAGCAAGAAGCCACAGAAGTCAGTAACTGCCTGCAACCACCCTGCAAAAAAAGTTTTTTACCAAAAGAAAGAAATGCAGAGGTGTAGATGTTTATCTTTGCTCTTCTTGCGTCACAACAGGCGAGTGTCTCCGCTGTGTTTGTCTCCATTTTTCCGTCTCCTGAGGCTTTGTGAGGAGAAGCAGCACCAGGGAGACCTGGAGGAGATAGACGCCCTTCTGGGTGAACAGTGAAAACACAAAGTGAAAACACTTTTCTCATCATCCTCATCAGTGACTGTAAAGCAATTGATGTCTTTTTTTTCTGCATCCCAGGGTGCCCCCTGATCCTTACAGACATGGACGTGGTGGAGAAGATGGAAAGCCTGTCAAAAGTGGAGAGGGAGTTCCTTTGTTCTCTGCTCTTTCACACCATCAACTGGTTCAGAGAGGTAACTGCGTGTTGCTACCAAACACACTTCCTTCATTCAGCACACGGACATGTGGCTGAAACAGGACTTTCCCCACCCCCCCACAGGTTGTTAATGCCTTCTGTAGACAAAAAGAAACTGAGATGAAGATGAAAGTGATGACTCGCCTGCAGAACATCACATATCTGCAGATGCTTTTGGAAAGAGCTCTGGCAGGTGTGTTTGTGATCCAGGACCACCAGGTCTAAAAGGCCCCCACAATACCACAAAGTGTCAGCACTGAAGTATTCTCTCCGTTCCTCTGTCAGGAGCCCCTGGCTATGTACCGCCCCTTTGTAACTTTGATGGAGAAAGCCCAGACGCTATTTCAGTGAGTTCCACCATCCCTGTGAATAAGGCAAAGAAAGGTAACAGCATCAAACGCAAAGTATGTTAGTTTAGCTTTTGTGGTAAGTGTGGGATCTAACTCGCATGTGTTGTTCAGATGGCAAAGGAAAGAAGAGAAAGGCACCGGGTAAGAATTCCTCTGATGGCAGCTCTCAGCCCGAGGAGGCGACAGAGGCCGATGAAACTCAGCAGGTACATTTTTATACAGGCCATTGTAAAGTATCATTTAAAAGACCTGATCATTTAAAAACCTGATTCTTTTTGGGCTGAAGGAGCAGCCGGAAAAGGAGAAAGAGAAGGGATTCCGGCCGAGTGTCAGTTTGACAGCCTTCAGGCCGTTTTTCAGGGAGCTGGACATGGAGGTGCTCAGTGTTCTGCAGTGTGGCCTCCTGTCACGCTCACTGCTGGACACAGAGCTCCACACCAAGGTAGGGCGAGAATTCAATGAAAAGTTTCCTGCTTTTTTTTGTAAGGTACTGCCCATGTCAGTGACATCAGCTTGATATTACTGACATAACCCAGGTGTCTGAGGAGGTTTTGCTGGGTGCTGCTGAGCTGGTCTTCTTGCTGGAGGACATGCTGCACAAACTGGAGTTCAGCCTCACAGCCGCACCGGCCAAAAGAGCCCCTTTCCTCAAGGTACCGCGAAAAAAGCAAATCGAGTGTCGATCTGTCACATTTGCCGGGACATCAACGCAACAGTCCAAAGATGTTTGAAAGAGGTGGCATTTGCCCAAAGCACGTGATGATATCCAAAGGGAGCGGACTCTGTAAAGATCTCTGTACATACACTTTAGGCTGATATTTGCTCACCCTCCCAGGATACAGGCTTAGCCTGGATGACCGTGGAAAAGGGATGAAACTGCACTGTACTTTGCAAACTATGGCTTGAGAAACTAAAATGCATAGTATTTTGAGTTAGGCCCACAAAGCTGGGACTGAGTGCTGTACATTTAAAAATGTTTAAAATGTGTGTTCTCTCAGGTGTGTGGTTTAACATAAACTGATCTGCAGATATTCTACATGTCAGTGAGTTTTAAAGACATATTATCATAATGTATTTTTAGTTTTCTCTGATTAGAAATCAAGAAATTTGACTTTTGAGATACTTCTGCTCCAGTTTTTATGGACATTTGTTGTCAAGTCAACTCGAGTTGTGTGTCCATCCGTCCTCGGCTGTCCCAGACCACACAAACGCCACCATAAAACGCAGAGACTCACACTTGTTTTCATCAAACAAGTGCATGTGAATTAGGCAAAACAAGTCAACAACCAAAAAAATTTATAATTATTTCATTTGTTTCTTAGAACATCATAAAATCTGCGATTTGCTCAATGAGACAGCAAAGTTTGCATTATTCAACTTAAATATTCTCTCTTTTAGGCAAGGGCTGATAAAAGTGTGGGCTTCTCCCACCTACAACAGAGGAGTTCTAAAGAAATTGCCTCCTGCTGTATCCAGCTGCTGCCTGCGCTTTGCACACATCTGGAGAACTGCCACAACCACTTTCAGGTATCACTCTGCCGGCTCTCAACGCAGAGCTCCTCTTTGCCCATTTTTGCGAGGTTTCCCTAAAGCTCCTCTTGGATGCGTTTGTCGTTTTGCAGACTCTGCTGTCGGAGAACAACGGCGTGGTGGACGGGCCCGCCACAGACGTGCAGGAGCACGGCTTAATGTCGTCTGGCTACCAGCTGCTCCTGCAGGTCCTGAGCACCACTTTCAGCTGGTGAGGCGGACCGGTGCCGTGCCAGAGAGAGAGCGTCCGAGCACTCAGCCTCTCGCCGACGTTGACTTTTTGTCCTCTGCCTGTTTCTGCTGTTGTGGATGCGTGTGGGCATCTGTCAGGTCTGGATTCAGTCAGCCGGGACAGCGCGGCTTACTGAAGAAGGCTCTCGGGGTTTTGGCCGGACGGCTTAAAGAAGGAGGTGCTGAGCTGACACTGGAGCAGCTTGTGAAGTGAGTGAATGAATTCAAGACCCTGACAGAACTGATTTTTTTCCCCCCACCCAAACATTATTTTGATGTCCATGCAAAATGCCCTTTAACTACAAGCTGACACTTTAAATAAGTGCTCTTTTGGAGAGCTGCTGTGGGCAGTTCTGTCCGAGACACAACAAAACATGACAAGGACCAAATAAAGTACAAGTGACAACTGTCAAAATATCAAGTTTGGATTGGAACTGTTTGTTTTAAGTCCACTGGTTTGATTTGTGCCTGTCCGCTCACAGAATAAATGTGTTTCTCTCTACCCCTGTCCTTGTTCAGACACAGTTTTCAGTACCTGCTGAATTTCCGCAGCACCATACCAAATCTCAGCACAGCTTTGTGTCTCTCTCAACTTCTGTCCACTGTGGCCGAGAGAGGGGGAAATTCTGCCGCCTACAGAGAGCAGACTGGTCAGCCTGATACCCTGATTTGACTGCATCAGCCCTCCAGTAGAGTGTGATGATAAGAACCGTGTTCAATTTTGTTCTTTTTATCTTTTAGCTTCTTTAGCACGACATTTCCTGACCCAGGCTTGGGTGACAGCGAGTGGGGAGAGAGAGCGAGGGAATAAATTCAATGAAGCGCTTCACTCTCTTTTAAGGTGTGTCTGCATGTCAAAAAGAGATAATGAATAAAAGAGCAGAGGAGAGTCAATGAAAAGCAAGCCAGATGTGTTGTGTCAATGCTGCTGGTGGGCTTTGTTGTCCAAAAAGGTTAAAAATAAAAGAAAACAAAGCTACAATGTTGGTTTCAAAATATGTCTATAAATGATATTATAATATGTTCCCTTGTAAGGAGGGATTAATCTTTTAGACTCTTTTGATCCAAATCAGTGACGGCGATAGTATTATTTCTTTAAAATTTAGACATTAGCATGTCCAATCTCTTTTTTTTAAGCTGGGAGGCTCCGAAATGCAACAGTACGGACACACGTTCCTGTACAGTCACCTGAGATTGTGTGTGTCATGGAATCTCTATGGTCTGCTTACTTTGCAGCATCTACCTGGATCATGTTGACGACGTTCTGAAGGCAGTGGAGGAGATCACCGGAGAAGCAATCCCCGAACTGCTTAACGTATCGAAAGATGAGACCTCTACATCCTGGCCCACGCTGAGCAGGTAGACCTTCACCCTTAAGCCTCTTGGGATTAAGATAAATTTTAAAGCTCTCTGTTTTGGTCATATCAGCAGCACATGCGACCACAGGGACACACTCAAGGCTGTGGCTGTGATCAGAGCTCTACTGTGAAATGCTAAGCACCAGAGTTATCACACCACTGGCCACTGCTTAGTTGTATCCTCATTCTTCTTAGGCAAACATTCTTGGTGTTTTACAAAGTGTTGATGGCAGAACTGGAGAAAGCTGCCCGGAAGATTCCTGCCGGCAAAATGAGTGACAGCACTGAGGTCAGCCGATGGGTGCAACGCTGCCCACTTGCCTGTACATCGCTGTTTTGAGCACCCGTGATCAAATGAGTAAGATTGCAATCCCATCTTTTAGGCTCAGAGTGAAAAGGTGCTGACCTGGAATTTGGCTGTCAGAGATTTTCACATCATGGTCAACCTGGTGAAGGTATGTCACCTGCTGTTGTAGTCATAAAGTTGTGAATGTGTAGCACACTTGACTCAGACATCACCCCTTAACTAACTATTGCTATTTGTTTTTAAGTAATTACTTCCCCCTTTTAGTAGATGGAAAGATCTGTGTGTGCGTCTGACCTGTGCTCTCGTCTCCTCGGCAGGTTTTTGATTCCAGGCCAGTGCTGAATGTGTGCTTAAAGGTGAGTGGATTCTGCATGTCGTACACAGTTTTACAATCAGCTCTAAATAAGATTTATGCATCAATTTACTTAAATCATTCTGCAAAAAAACAGTATGGCCGACTTTTCCTGGAGTCTTTCCTGAAGTTGGGGATGCCGCTACTGGACTACAGTTTCAAAAGGCACAAGGTAGACAGGAAATGGCTTCACAGCAAAGGACTCTTTAGTATGTTTTATTACTTCTGAAAATGTCCGTGTCAGTGCTTGAGGTTTACTCTCTGGTGGCTGTTTTGACTTGTAAATTGACCCCTGACTTTGTACTGAGACGCACGTTTTCTGCCTTGTTGTTTTAAGCAATTCCTATTGAATTGTTGCCATTGAGCTGTGTGTGATGAATTGCATTTTCAGGAGGATGTCCAGAGCCTGCTGAAGACCTTCCAGCTCAGCACCCGTCAACTCCACCACATGTGTGGACATTCTAAGGTTGAAGCATTTGTCTTGCCCTGTCTTGTGTATATTTATTTTCATGCATCACAGTTACAGATTCCAATCAATGAGACCAAAACGCTGAGAAAAGAGTTTCAGCTGGAATTGAAACTGGTTATGTATTAAAAGCAGCTTGTTATAATGTGCTGTCTCTCAGATTAATCAGGATACCAGCCTGACCAACCACGTCCCAGCCTTGAAGAAGAGCCTTGAGCTGTTTGTTTACAGAGTGAAGGCCATGCTGGCACTAAACAACTGCCAGGAGGCCTTTTGGATTGGCAACCTGAAGAATCGAAACCTGAAGGTAAGGCATGGATTAGGTGTCCTAATCACTGTGCACTTTTAGTTACAGACTCCAGACACTGGTATTCTGTATCTCACAGGGCGAAGAAATCCTCTCTCAGAGGTCACAAGGAAGCGATGATGATAATGACGAGGAGGAGGAGAACCAGGGCTTTCAGCTACCACACGAAGAGTCCGATGATGAGGTGCTTGCCATTTCATGAAAACGGCTAATTTATAGCATACATTCAGATTTATTACATGCCGAGCTTCAAATCACCATGATATGAAGAAAAATATGGCATGATGAAATGCACTTAGAAACATCAGCAAAGAATTCCATTATTTCTAATGTCGCTTTATTTCTCTGGGCCACTGTTGTGTTACTCGTAGTCTAGAGTTTATGTTCTGTTCATGTGTAAAACTCCTTATCTTCATGTTTACTTAATGCATCTCTTGTGGTTTTCTCCTGGCCCAGGAGAGTGATTCTGAACCTGTGAAGAAAAGTAACAGAATGGAAGATGTGGAGCAGGATGACATTACTGAGGACTCTGACTAATCCTCATCATAAAGTGATCGTTTTGGGGTGATGTTGTCAAACCTTTTGTTTGGGTTGAAACCTAATTTACAGATTGTCTCTTCAAGTGTCTTTTTAAGTCTGATAGGCTTTTTTTAGGCACTTTGTACATCTATTAAATACTTTGTTCATTTGGACTTTTTTTTTATGAAGCGCATACACATGGCTGTAACTTTTTGAAAATATTCAAAAAGAATGTGAAATGCTTTTATGAAACTAACCGATAAAACGTGTCTACTCATTGGGTATCCTCAATGCACAATAAGTTCTTAAAAGAAATGTATGTTATATTTGTTTGCAAGGAAATAAACTACTCATTTATTAGTATTAAATAATATTTTTTCGTTTAAAAGTTCTCCACTTAATTTTAATCATGTAATTTTATAAAATACATGAAACACATCTATGAAAATGGATCAATTCAGTATTGAATTAAAACAGCTTATCTAATCCTTATTCTAAAGAAGAAATTGTTTTGAAAGAGGAAGACATTTTTATTGTTATATGATTCAAAACATACAGATTTGTTTTCTGGCCAGAGAAACCCAGGAAAAGAACTTCAGAGTAAACACTGCAATCTTTGTTTCCCTTCGAAATCCCACAAAAGAAGGACATCGCTGATTAGTTGCAGATTTGCATGACAGTAAACAGTATTTTCTACGTTTAAGTCTGTTGACATTTTCTTTTCAGTAGGCAATAGGGTCATAACAATTTTCACAATAGAAATAAGCCCTTGAGGTTAAAAGTATTGTTTTAATCAGGAACTCTGGTGAAGGAAATTATCATTTTAAAAAATCAATTTTACAAATACATGCTAAGCTAATGTCTCAATTGAGGCTCCTGAGAGGCTAAGAAATCAGGAGAATTAAAGAGGTGACCTACTTGGGTTCTGATGGAAAAATCCGCCTCATAACAGCATTAGCCTGATGTTCCACACTGCTATGGGCACTTGGGTCAGCACTGCCAAACGGCTTTTTTTCTGGAATGGAAAATAAGGCCAAATATGTAGTTATTCTGTCTTCATACCAAAAGGAGTTTTAGTCATGAATTTTCCACGTATATAAATATAGAGTGCAAACCAGTTATTACTGTATAATTAATCCCACTAAGGCGTTTTCCTGTGGTCTTAAAACTGAATGGAGCATTGAGCACTTCTGGTACAGTGGTGTTATTTTTAGCTTAAACTTGTATGACTTGTAAACTTATACCCTTCTGTACAATGCCCAACTTACATATATATATATACATACATATGTAAACCATATTCTATATTTGTTATTTATATTCTTCCATAAATGAGTTTGCATATCCATAGTTTGAAAAAATTGACTGCAGCCTCTCGAGCAAGTCTATGACAGAACGTTTCCTGAAATCAACACTAAAAGCTGTCCGACAGCACCAACACGTTTTATGACAGCTTTTCTAATTGTTTACAGAGAGACGGGGATTGTTGCATGAGGAAGAAAAGCAATGATGCGAGGACCAGTCAAAGAAAACTACAAGTACTCATTTCCAATGGATTTCTTTTTAACACCTGGGTTGAGCCATATAAAACCCAAGGGGTGTTTGTCCGTTGTCCATGCATCTCGTCTTTAATAAAGATTTATATTGATCGAGATTAATCTATTTATGGATTATTACGTACTAAAAGAGGCGTGGTATTTTTCACAGGGTGATCATACACACATAAACTAGTTTAAAAAACGTTACTGTGAAAGACCGCCCCCCTTCTGGGCTGATGCGGATGGTCTATTCAGGAAGCGTCCTCCACTGTTTGGGGAAATACCAAAAACAAGCTGTGTTTTCAGTCTTCTCAAACGGGTGTTTTGAACTTTCATTTTACCTTATCTAGATTTAGAAAAAATTGCGTCTTTCGACGGCGACGTTTTTGTCTGTTTTTAAAATCACTGGGACCCTAGTTTCGGCGTGTGTGTGTGTGGAGAAAAACGTTTAGCTTTGGCAGAATTTGTACATTTGCATTGATTGCAGCTGTACCGCTTTGACAGACCATGTCTGACTTGATTCTGCTTCTCCTGATAGTCGTCCTCCTGCTGTGTTTAGCCGCGACGGTTGGAGTGTTGCTCGTGTACTCGGGTTTCCTGTCAGACGTGGAACTTAAGACCGGGCCACCTCCTATCAAAAATGTTACCATTGCCTATAAGTTCCAGGAGGGCTCGTACAAGGCCTGCGGTGCGGGCTACACGGAGAGCTGCAGCATCGGGCCGAAGCTGAACTCGATCGGTATTTTCTACGATGACCCAAAGCAGGTGAGAGTCCAGGATGCAGCACCAGTCACTGTGATGTTGAGCCACACAGCCAGAGGTCTGTGCGGGAACCTGACCTCATGACATAACTGCGAAAGTACTCTGTGTCCTGATAAGATACAGTACAGTAAATAACACCTTGATAAATGTCAGAAGTTGGAGCATTATGCACACAGTAGTTGAGTATAGGCTTGTCATGAGTTGTTGGAATTATCAAGATATGATTAACCATTGAAATAATTAAGTTTGCCAGACTCTTATCAAAGCATATATAACCTTAATCTTATGTTAAACCTATCATTAAAATGAATAAGTCACAAAACCCTTTAGTAAACTGGAAAGTTTGGTATGTGTTGGAACATTTGAGGAACAACTGAGTTGGGAAGCTTGTTTAGCAGAAAAAGTCTTGGTAAAACCCACGATGCAAACAAGTTATTTCCCTTAAACCTTTACACTCAATGCCAATATAATAGTGTCATTGTATCGTATAAGTTTCCAGTAGTAGTGTATTAAAAAACAAGCCTGCGTTTGGTTTATTTTCTTTCAACTAACCTGTTCACAGACTTTTTTATTAAATCAGAAAATTGCAAATTTTCAAAACTGATTAGTGCGTGAAATGTCTCTCTCTCAAACAAACACACACAAACACACACACACACACACACATGCAAAGGTTTTTCTTTTTCACTATCAGATTTGAGGCTGGATGATTTTCTGTTTTGTTAAAAGTATTATTATGGTTATATTCTGATTATCATTTGTTAGAAATTCACAAACTGATCAACTTTATTCTTACTGTGTTTAAAATTCCACAGATTTTTTTTTCAGTTGAATCAAACAAGTCTTTCTACATGTGAACCACACATCCACAGTCCATAAACACGATTTAGGTGGATGTAATACAGGATATGTAGCTCACAGGGTTAATGTTCAAGCTGCCTGTTGAAGGAACTGAGCCTGAGTGATGAAACCAGTCAGCTGTTCATCTGCCACGTTGCAATGTTGATATTCTTTCCGCTGCATTGATGGTTACGAGCTGCCTCAGCACTTCCCTCCAAGACTGTAACTATACTCCAAAGAAAAAGAGCAAATATGTTCAGCCTCTGGAACTCTGAAACTAAGCTGCTTTCTGCCGAAGTCTGACTGGTTTTGATTTTACAGCCACAATTAAGTTTTTAGACGTAACAAATGTTGATTTCATCCTGATTCAAAAGCTAATTTTTTGTGTGTAAGTGGGTTTCTCAGCTGGCATCTATGGTTGTTTGCTGCTTACGTTCCACTAACCAAGGCTCATCACGAGTTCTGTTTTCAGTAAACAAGAAATGTCTGCACAACAGCTGCTAGTTAGAGCAGAATGTTGGCGTCTCCCGCTGATATGTGCAGAACACAACTCACACAAACAACTCCACTGCTGTCTCTGTGTGCCCAGTTTATTCCAAGATTTAAGGGGACGAATAACCAGACGAGTCTTTTTTCCCCTTGATTCTAAGCGTATAAGGTACTTTTTAGCATTCATCACTGAGGCAGTCAGACCATCTGAGGGACAGCGTGGCACTTGGCACATCAGGGCGTCTGTTTGGTGGAGAAGTGGCAGACTGCCTGGTTGAATGTCTGACTTTCAGTGCTCGTTCATCCCGAGCAACGAATCCCATTCAGAATTTTTGTTACCCTAAAACTAGGACTGTGGCGCCTTTGATTTTCTGCTTACATCCACTGAATTTTCTGGCCTCTCCTTAAGTTTGAACGCTCAGTCAAAGTAATGACTGTGAGTCATGCCAGTGGAAAATTGTGGCATTTTGGAATTTATACAACATTTTTGCTGGAGTTTGTGAAGAGTTGGCATTATGAGGCACCAGCTTGCTTTTGGGGATCCCATAACTCTGGGTTAACTTGTGTCTTTCCCTATGAAGAGTGATTGATTATTACAGACTCATTAGACAGATGAACTTGATCAGTAATTAAAGCGTGGAGTACCAAACTGCAAATGCTCGATCACCTTTAGATGGCGAAGTTTGTTACGTAATGCCAAGAGCCCAATAAATCTGATTGTTTAACATTCAAGCACATAAAAACAGGTTCAGGCAAACTGCTGTAATCCTCCTTTAGAGGTTTAAAGGCTTTAGTAGGTCAACACCTGCTACTTTTGAAAGATCTTCACTGGCTGCTGCAGCTTGTTTAATAAAACTTTACATCCGTTAGAATCAGCACTCAGCTCTGCTTCCCTCATATACAATGTCCCTCATTCATCGAAAGCAGTGAGTCATTTATATGAACAAGTCCAATTACTGGCACAGCTTGTGGAAAATTTAAAACTGAGCATCGGACTTCTTTCAACCCAATTTGCATTTCAGGATCAATTTGTGCTTTTAACTAGTTTTTGTTTGCAAGCTGTGTGTTTAAATATGGCTGCACAAGTATGAATTTATTTTCTAAATTAAAACAAAAAAGACATTGCAAATAGAACACAAACCCCTCCTGTGTTCTCTGGACCATGCTCCAAAACTACCCCCTTAAAACACAACATCCACTTGACATTGTTCGGTAGGTTAGAAAAACACTATTAAATCGCTGCAATGATTCTGATTCTACTCTACGTTATTCAAAAGGTTTTTTCCTATTAATTCTGTTCATCGTGGTGTTTGTAATCTGCTGTCCTCTGGGTTGTAAATCCTCATTGTTGGTGTGCCTGGGGGACAGTAGATGGCACTATTTCCATTGTAATTAAGTGTTGGGGGTGCCAGGAACAACCTCCAAATCACATGGATCGTTTTTACTTCATTTGTTATAATGGCGTAAATAGAGTGACTCAGTCAACAGTGATTTTCATCATTACTGAGATCAAATTGAATTTCATACTTGAATAAGTCGCTGGTCACTATGGCTCACCTCAGTGATTTTGGCTCCTGGCACTTGATCCACAGTACATCTGCTTCTCAGCAATTTAGCTGCTTTCACATTCTAATGTGGTGCTGTTTCACGACTGTGGCGGAAGCTAGGAGTCTAGTGTCCTGGGATTAAAAAAAACAAAAAAACAACACCAATAGGGCTGATCAAAAAGC